CTATATTCTTTTTGTTTAGGTTCTGCATTTATTTGAATAATGCAATTTAAACACAAGGTCTTGAGCTCTCGGTCTTGGATGGTCTCAGTTTGATCTTAAACATTAAGGTCTCAGTCTCAGATCAAAGGTTTCGACAACGACACTGGTACCGGTACATGTATTTATTCCCTTAATTAACATCTTGTCATTACAATCTGAGAGAACCATTCCAATTACAAAGTATTTATCTCTTCCTCCCCAACATGCTGGTTTAATGAACAGCTAATGTACAGTAAGTGCAACAATGGTTAATATTACATCGTAAGTACTGGATTCAATGACGATGTTGTGTTAGTAGTTTCTACACTAATGAACACACAGAAGACAGCACACAAACACACATGTACAATGTACAGTATGTAAGGTACATTATATAAGATCTCACATCTCTTTTCATCTCAAGAGATGCCATATTTTTTGCATGTTAATTAACTGGGGTCAGTCAGCTGGTGCGAAACAAAACTCTATTAGGGTAAAACAACTGCAGCCACATGGATGGCTAAACGAAATGATGCCAAGCATGTCAGTCTCATTTTGTCTGTTAATTGCACTGATTTGACACAAACACAGCCATGGTACAATATCTCCTCTGACAGTCTACACATTTGTACGTACACACTCTCAGCAATAAAGAAGAAACAGGCTGGTGAGCAGTTTTTTAATTGGCACATGTGAAGACTATATATGGTACATTACATCACATGTATTCCATTCCAAGAAAAATTGGTTGGGCAACTTCTAGTCAGAGCAGACCATGTACATGTACAGTACATGTACTAATGGTATTTACTGTGCACAGTATACTTGTACAACTTGTCCATGTACATGTCCATGTACCACTTGTGACTGCTACTCTGGGCTCAACTAAAACTTGCAAATGTAATATCTTGTCTTAATAAGTCCCATCAGTTAACGAGGACTGATATCCATGGCACTAAATCTTAATTTTCATTTGTGTTTTCATTTCGCTTTTATGTGTTTTTGTTCTTTTTCAGGGGGTTATTTTGTTTCAATTATAGCAAAACATAGATTAGGTGGGTCTTGTGTGTTCTTTCTTTTCTTTTACCCACTTTATAATTCCCTTTTTTCCCTGTCTTGGGAAAATTCTGAAATGCTATGACAACAATATTCAAGTGCATATGTACAGTATGCAAAAGCGCAAGTACAGGTACACAGCTGTACACAATGTAAATGTGTGCAGCAATGTAATGATCAAGCCATATGAATGCTAGCCCATGCTATTCAAACAATTATTAATACAAACATCACTGCACTAATGGCCATAACATGACACCTGCAAATGCATTCTCAATTGGCCACCATGTACGTGTACACGTTTGCATACTGTACTTCACCAGTAGCGAAAGGCAGCTCATTGAAGAAACTATACAAACAAGAACTATGGTGATGAGTGTCACTTTCAAGTATTTCAGTTTGATCAATGAGTATTTTATTGCAAGGCAGCAACCCACTGAAAGGTTACAGAGATTGGCAAAAAACAACAGTCTAACTGCCATGAAAAGACCAATGTGCAATTTTACAGAATATCGATATACATATGCCTGTATTAAATTGTGTGTGATATCCCCTTAATTTTGGATCAATACTTGCCTCAAAAGTTACTAGGTACTGATTTCAGTACTTTTGAACTAGATGGCATATTCACATTTTTTGTGTTCAAAACTATTTGGTTTGAGTTTGGTTGAGTATACTTTTCCTGTTATTGCACTTCAGACCTTAATATCTATATTGACTTCACAGCACACTGCAAGCAATGATTTTTTTCAATCCTACATGTACATGTAGTGCTGCAGCTGAACCACCAAACCGAACCAAAAATCATAGAACATGGCACTTTTGAAGGAACCAAACCAAACCCAACTGGTCGGTCCAGATGTTCAGCTTTAATATGGCATGGCACTACTAGCGCAAATAATGCATGTGAGAAAACTTGACAAAAAAGCAAACACAATGTAAAATGGATAACAAGTTATGCCACCCTGGCACACGCTAGCACTCAGCACGTGTTCATCAGGAAGGTACTGTAAATGTACACAGTACATGTACAGTACACTTACGGTGGCCCCGCATCACGCGATGGTTGTAAAACTTAAAAGCACGCAGCGAGAATTCACTAATAAACAATCGAGAACATGGAACATCGGCATTTCCACTGCACAACAATTCTAAATTCTCACTACATCCAATTGTGCTTATGTTTATTCAGATTTATCATTATGTTTGCCAATCTCCAATAG